ATCATTTTTCTTGTTCATGGATAAGCATTTTCTTCTTTTTTTAAAAAAGATTCATTTTAATGGGGGCTCTTACAGCTCTTGCCACCATCCATCCAGCTCTTCTAGCATCCATACATCCATTATATCAAGCACATTTGTACATATGTTGCCATCATCATTCTCAAAACATTTTCCTTCTGCTTGAGCCCTTGGTATCAGCTCCTCATCTTTCCCCACTCCCTTCCTCATGAACCCTTGATAATTTATTAAATTTTCCCCCTCAGGTCTTTCTCCGACTGCTGCCTCACTTCACCCTCTTTTCTGTTGTCTATCCCCCTAGGAATGGGTTATATGTAGATCATTGCGATCGCTTCCCCTCCTGGTTCTCTATTCTCGTTATTGGACCTGAGAGATTTATCTCAGGATTCCCTGTGCTTCCAGCTCTTATCTGTACCATTTACAAAAATGCTCTAGTCTAGCTGGATTTGTAAAGTAGAATTGGGGTCATGAAAGTAGGGCTGGGGGGTGGGGGAGCATTAAAGAACTAGAGGAAAGTTGTATGTTTCGTTGGTGCTATACTGCACCCTGACTGGCTTGTCTTTTCCTTGTGACCCTTCTGTAAGGGATAGCCAATTGTCTACGGATGGGCTTTGGGTCTCCACTCTGCACCCCCCCTCATTCACATTGATAGGATTTTTTGTTCTGGGTCTTTGATGCCTGAACCCTGATCCCATCGACCATTCATGATCACGCAGGCTGGTGTGCTTCTTCTGGAGAAGCATTTTCTCAGGAATAGTTTTCTGTACCTTTGTATGTGTGTCTCTCTTCTAGAACGTGCAGCTCTCACTTCTAACAGAGAGGGGGATGGGTGAAGCCGTACAGGAGTTTGTGGACAAGGAGGAGAAAGATGCCATAGAAGAATTGGTGAAATACCAGTTGGAGAAAACACAGCGATTTCTTAAAGAACGTCATATCGATGCTATAGAAGACAAAATCGATGAAGAGGTAGGTGACTAATTTGGAGGTGGACATTTCTATTTTGACAGTCTTTCCTGAAACTTAGCTCTGTTTTTCTGTTTGTTTGGGAGTTCCTTTTTAAAAATCAACCATGGTTTAATTTCTCTGATTTGTTTAGCTTCTGTATCTATAAAGTTTGGATAATAAAACTGAAGATTAAATTAGAAAACATCTAGAAGGGTGTTAGTTTTATTCCTCATAGGTTGTATCTTCTCTTGACAATTCCCCAAATGGTTTCAAGTGAACCTTTTAGGATGAATATTTCTGCTCATTTTAATTTTTTAGTCAACTTTGATTGTTATTTTGAGTTTAATCTAGAAAAATGGGCTTGGGTTCTCTTTCAGCATAAAAACAGTATCACATAGGGAAAACTCCAGATTTTACTACATAGAAACTTTACATCTTTGAATGCCAGACTGCCAAATACAAAAATAAACAGATAGTGATATGGAGAAAGTAATAGAAATAATAGGAGCAGAAATTTTTTTTATGACGTTGAACAACCTGTATTGGTCTAAGGAAAAGGATATCAACAATAGCTGCACAACCTGAAGAGTATGATCAATGCACTGAATTATACACGTAGAAGTTGTCGAATTGGAGAATGTTTTGTTGTGTATATTTTGCCACAATTGGAAAATAATTATGCTAATAACTGAGTACAAGGATAAAGAAAATGTTGTAAAATCATACAACTCTTCTTGATATGATTGAACTACTGAACTGTGTGATATATGGATGAAGTGCCAATAAAATTTTAAAAATAGTAAACATTTCAGTAAGATAATGAGCAAAGAGCACGGACAGGTGGTTCACAGAAGAAAGGCAAGAGACTAATAAGCATATGAAGATGGTGTACAGCCTAGGATAACCAAAGAAACTACTGCATATTTTTTATTTGGAAAAAATACATTGGAACACTGCTGTTGAGGGTTCATTGAAAAGCAGTATGATCGTGTGCATCAGGAGGCTCAACATTTCACTCTTTAACTCAAACTCCAAACCAAACTGGCTGCCCCTGAGTCTTTCCTGTCGCTTAGCCACCCTCGTAGAACTGCCCCGTGGCTGCTGAGACAATGACTGAACAGAAGTACGAAGCCTCATCTCTCTAGCGGAGCAGCAGTGGTTTCAAACTGCTGACTTGGCAGTGAGCAGCCCAGCTCAGAGCCACCAGAGCTCCTCCACTGTACTTCACCCAGAGAAATTTTCATCAGGAGATAGGGAAATGGAGATGGTGCGTATAGGGGAACTCATCTTACTGTTATCTGCAATGCAGGGACGGTGGCGATGGTTTGGGTTGTAAGGATTAAAGGATGAGTGTCAAGTCCTCAGCCTCGTACATATCACATGGTGGTTGCTCAGCAAGTGTAACTACTATTTTCACTCCGATGTTCATTTCTCCTCTCTGTGAGGATTTAGCTTGTTTGGTATTACACACCAGCTAGGGAGCCCTGGTGGTGTGGTGGTTACATACTGGGCTTTGAGCTGCAAGATGAGCAGTGGCCATCTGCTCTCCACTCTCAGCGTGACCGTGTCCGAACACACAGGGCAGTTCCACCTGTCCTACAGGGTCGCTAGGAGTCAATCTACTGCGTGGCAGTGAGATGGTGTTACCCATGAGTGGCACACACTGTTAAACTGGGTACTGACTAAGAGATTGGAGGTTCACACCCACCCAGAGGACCCTCCAGAGATAGGCCTGGTGCCCTGCCTCTGAGAGGTCATAGCCGCTGAAACCATGTGGGGTGTTGTTTTGCTCTGAAACCTCAGGGGCTGCTGGGAGTCGGATTGAAGCAGAGGCAACGGGTGTGAGTTTAAAGCTCTTGTAAGTACTAAGTGATCTCTGAAAAAATCATTCCTACAGTTTTCTTCCCTCTGTGGAACCCTAGCAAGCATATGTTGTTATTTCTCAGCTTAAAAGACAATAAAACCGAAACTCTCGAGCCCACTTTTCCCTTTAGTTATTGCCGCTGCATTTCCTTGTTCTCTTTTTACAGTAGAATTGCTCCACAGGCTTTTCCATATTCCGCTGCCCCAAATTCTTCTCTGTTCTCGCTCTCTTTAACTAAGCCATGGAGGCTTTTGACTTGGTCATTACAGGGGGTTGCTTTTGTCGCCCCGTTACTCTTCATTCTAAGTCAAATGTCCATTCTGATCTTTAACCTGACTCCTTGAATCATTTCTTCGTTGACTTCCCAGAACTCCACTCTACCTCTGTTCTACCTCACCTTCTTTCAGTTTCTATTGTTGATTTCTCTTATCTCTTCAGCCTCTCAAGGTGGAGTCCCCAGAACTCAGTCCTTAGACCTCTTCTCTGTGCACACATTGCCTTTGTAGTCTCGTTCAGTCTCTTGGCTCTAAATAACCATCTGTTCGTGGTGACTTTCAGAAGGCTCACCCAACCATCTCCCAAACTCCTGGACAGTTTCACCTGGGCATCAAGTAGACATCTGGAACATTTAGCATGCTCCACTCCTAATTTCTGATCCCCACTCCCTGCCCCAAATCCTGCTCTACCCAGTGGAAGCCTTGTTCCTTCTGTTGCTCAGGCCCCAAACATTAAAGCTGTTCTGCCTCCTGTATCCTGTCTATAAAATCTGTGAGAGCTAGAAACAGCAGAAGGGCGACACTTGTCAGAAAGGAACAAGGCAGATATCCTCCCCTGAAGGCGTGGTAGCCAAGAGGTAGGAGGGCACTCTGTAAAACGCAGCAAACTTGGGAGACCCAGACAAGCAAGGTGGTCCCATTGAATTCTGGCTCTCTCAGGTTTCACTGACTCACTTCTCACCACCATCACTGTCCAAGGATAAGCCATTGTCACCTCTCACCTGCAGCACTTCACTTCTGGCCTCCCTGCTCTGCTCTTGTCCTCCTCCTTGTCCTGCCCCTCTAGTCTAAACTCGTCTGTCAGTGACCGTGCATACTTTAGACCATTCTTGGTTTGTTTGCTTGTCTGTCTGAGCTTTCACAGTTTGAAGTTTCATTCAGCCTGACCCTTGTTATCTCTCCACCTTCATATCTGCCGGAGCCACACTGTCTCAAACCACAAAAAACAGCAGTCCTGCTTCTGCCCCAGGGCCTTTGTATGTTTTTTCACCCAGTTACTTCTATGGTTCATTCCCTGCCTCCTGAAATCCTTGCTCATATTTTCTGAGTGAGGATTTTCCAGACCATTCCACCTCGCTTCCTGCTTTGTTTTTGTCTCTGAATGTTTATTACCTTCTGTGAAGATTTCATGGGTTTTAGTATTTCAGAGGAACCAGAAAAGGTCCACTGTTCATGCTCACTCAGGCTTTTACTGAAAGCTGTAGGTCCTCGATACGACAGCAGGAGAGAGAGAGTGCAGGCAAACCCTGGGGATCTGGAAGATGTCTGAGCATCAGCTCCCAGGTGTGGCCACAGGATGCCCTCTAAGTGGTGCAGGCAGAAATCCCCAGTGAGTCCTGTATGTCCCTTTGCTCAGATAGTCCTGCTGCCCACCCCGTTGTGCAGGTTGGAAGCCATCTGCAAAAAATGGGTTCTGGGATGCCCGAAACCTCTAACCAGACCCTGAAGTAGTTCAGTGGCCATTGTGTAGCTCCTGACTCAGCTGACCCAGTGTGAGAGTGTAAGTGTTCCCTGGCTTTCCCAGAGCTGTGACATTGTGGAAGCAGATCATCAGGCCTGTCATCTGTGATGCCTCTGAACCAAACCAGTGCCACTGCCACTGAGTCCACCCTGCCCCATAGCCACCCGATAGGACAGAGTGGCACTGCGCCCTCAGGTATCCTAGACTGGAAACGTGTACGGAAGCACAGAACAGCAGTGTCTTCTCCCTCGCAAGGTGGCAGGTGCCCTTGAGCCACTGGGCACGCTTCACCCACTGTGCCACCAGAGCTCCCCCTGAGGTTCCTGGGTGGGTTCAAATCACCAGGTGTTCCGCGGTACCTGGGAGTTTAACTGTTTGTGTCCTAGGGACTCAGCATGTCCCTAGGCCATGGAAACGCACCAGGAGTGACTCATGCTAAGTCTTCACAGACGGCGTTGCTGAGTAGTGAGCCGTCAATCACTTAACCAGTTGTGTCACCCAGGGGTCTCAAGCCGAACCCCACACCCTAAGGAACATTACAATTTTTTTTCATTTATTGCCACTCTATTATCAGTCCCCACCGCTCCCTGCCCCACCCAGGGGTAGAATTTTCTTACTGTTTAATTCATGGTTGTAGTCTCCCCTCCTATAGTAGTGGCTGGCACACAGTATGTTCTCAGTCAATAGTGGCTGAATAAGTTACCTGCATACATGGCCTTTATCTCTCCAACGACAACATTCTCTTAGAAGAGCTTTGTGAGCAGGGGTCATTCAAATCAAGAACTTCCTGTCTCCCTGACAATCCCCGGACTGGTCAGCACAGACAGTAAACATTCCATATGTGGTCGTTGATGGAAAGGACCGTCAGGGCCCAGGATCTGAGGGCCTCCGACTGGTTTAGCAGCCATACGCCCAGGACTGATCTGGGCAGCGTCATAAATAGTTCACATTTCTTCCGGGAGAATAGATTTTGTTTTTAGCTCTGTAACTGAAATATAATGCTTGTGGCAAATTAGACCCTTTCTCCCCCTCTCTGCTCTGACAGACTATTTTTCAGGGACATGGAACATTTGGCATCAGGTAATATAATTTTGCTCAGGGCCAGTGTCTTTATTTTGAAGAGTGCATTTCTGAAGTGGTAATGTAAGCCACTGGGAAATTTTGATTTCTCTATCCATCTCCCGTGAATTAAACTATAATGAAATTTCCCAAGCTTTATATTAACAGCACCAAGTATTTCTTAATCACTTGCAGCCCATTATTCTTTATTTACATGATTGAAATGAGCAACATGTTTGTGATTTACTTTGTTATGATCTAGGTACGTTGTTTCAGAGAAAGCAGACGAAGAAATGCTCAGGAAGAAGATGATGAAGTTCGAGAGGTAATTTTTCTGTTGTAAATCTCTATGCTTACATGTCAGTTCAGTACATTGAAAGAACTGGTTGGTTTATCTAGAGCAGTCATCCCGTTTAGATTTGATGGGTGGGAATGGACGGGGACAGCCAGGCTGGCTAAGGAGGTGGTAGACAGCTGCCTTTGGTTGACTGGTTCAGCCTGCACATACTCTGCATGCTGACACGGCTCGTGTCTTCTTTGGCTTTTGTCTAAGGCAGTGGTTCTTAACCTTCCTGTTGCCACAGCCCTTTAATACAGTTCCCCATGTGGGGGGTGCCCCCCCCCACAACCATAAAATTATTTTCGTTGCTACTTCATCACTGTAATTTTGCTACTGTTTTGAATCGAGTGGCCCCTATGAAAGGGTCATTAGACAACCCCCCAAAGGGGTCATGACCCACAGGTTGAGAACCGCTGGTCTAAGATGCCTAATGTGGTGAGGAGGGTGGAGGGTACTTAAAACAAGAGGATTCTTCTGAACCATCACTAGAGATTGTGAGACAGCTCAAAGGCTTTCCTTTTTTTCTTTTTTTGAGATAAAAACTGTGAGTGCCTCTTGATGTATTTCACCATCTGTCATTTCATACTAGCTCTTTGGGGACCGGGTTATATCATGCAATATATGTGAAATTTTAGGGGCTGGAAAAGTAACATTTCAGGTATTGTATTTTTCCCCTTTGTCTTATTACAACATTTTGGTTTTCTATATTTGTAGACCAATTAAACTCATGTTAGTTTGGGTTCTCTAAGAGAAGTAAAACATGCATATATATGTATACACAAAAATATATATCAAGTGAGAGATAGAGAAATGTCTATTAAAAAATGGCTCACACAATTGTCAAAGTTGTTAAGTGGGTCAGATGTTAAGCTGGAGGCTTCTGGCTCACAGAGGTGCAGGTACTAGAGAGCAGGGAGACCACAGGCTGGTGGGTGAGTCCAAGATCGGCAGGCCAGGCACGGGACTGCAGAATCCAAGGAATGCAAAGTCAGTAGGAGTCAGACCGGCGGTCTGCTGACGGCTCCCTGGGTCAGTGGGCTGTTGGTAGCTGTTGACTCAAGTCCAAAGAACCAGGTGCTGTGTCCAGACCCAGTAAGAAGCAAGGAAGCTTCCTGACGGCATTCACTGATTTAGGAATTAGGAAACTTCCTTTCCATTGCATCAGGGCTGTGAGCTGAGTAAGGGGGTTGCACTCCATCACAGTCGTCTCAGCCCCTCGTGGCTGCTCACAGCAGATCCTATCGGAGTTGATTATATTGTGTTAGGTCAAACCCTTGAGAATCCTGGCTTAGCCATGTCGATACAGAACCTCAGTATCAAACCCCACACTGAGTCCATTTGATTAAAATCTGTAGAAAAAATAAAGAATATACAGTAAAAGCTGTGAAAGCTAGAACTTGTGTAAGGCAGAAGCTTGTCAGAAGGAAAACAAATATTTTCCACTAAAACAAACGGTAATAAAGGGGTAAGACTACACTCTCAAAGGTGGAAAACTTGGGAGACCTGGAAAGAAAAGGCAGTCGCAATAAGTCTTGGCCCTCACGGGTTCCATTGTAGTAACTCAGTAGCGCTTTCCTTTAAAGCATCTGTAGGGTAACCTCAATGTCTGTTTTTGGGTTTCATAGATTTCGTCTCCTTATACTCCTTGAACCACTCCATGGAGTGGCTGCTACGTGCCCTCCAACGGGCTCCGACGCACAGCGACTGTACAACTGAGTAAACACTGTCCGGTCCTGCACCTTCCTCGCAGTTGCTCTTATGTTTGAGCTCATTGTTGCAGCCATGGTGTCAATCTCTTTTGTTGAGTGTCTTCTCATTTTTATTGATCCTCTGCTTTATCGAGCCTGGCATCCTTTTCTCAGGACTGGTCTGTCCTGATAAGATGTCCAAAGTACGTGAGACAAGTCTCACCATCTTCGCTTCAGGGTGCGTTCTGGCTGTGCTTCCTCTAAGACAGACAGATGTGTGTGTTCTTCCAGCAGCCCATGGACTTTTGGTATTCTTTGCCAGCACCGTGCTTCACAACATAAGTTCATGTTCTTGGCATTGGTGCCAGTATTAACTATTTTGTTTGGCTAGTGGCCAAAAATCAGCAGTGTATCTACTCAGAGTCCCCTGACAGGAAAGACCAAGTGCTCGCTGAAGAATCAGCTGCTGGAAACCCCTGGGGTGCACAGTAGGGTGGCATGAGTCAGAATCTACTCCCCGACAACTGGTTTCATACAGAACTAAAAGCTACCAGCACCCACTAAGGCCCATACTCGCCATTCCCAATCTCCAAGTCATTTCCTGAATAAATGTAGTGGGGAAAGCAGAACTGATTACCTACTGGGTTTTATTTATTACTGTCTTCAGGGAAAGGGGGAATGACATGTACTTGCTGCTTTTTATGAGGTGTCTTATTGATGCTATCTCTGTTCCCATTTCACAAAGGAGAAAGCTGAATCCATACTTAAGGTCACATGGTGCTGCTGGAATCTCAGTATGAATGGGGCTTCAAAACGTTTGTAGAAATGATGGAATTTTTTCCCATGGACTTTTTGAAACTCCCTTGTATTTCTGCCTCCGAGACTGGGCGTTTCTATCTCACTGTATCCTACCAAGACTTAAAATACTATACGTTTATAATACTATAATACGATGGTTATAATACCAATTCACTGCATGGCCAAGGCATGACTTAGGTTTTAAAACATTGAGAACGGCCATGGAGTTGGTTCCAACTCCTACTGACTGTGGGACAGAGTCGATAATGTCTCTTTGGATTTCTGAGACAGAAAATTTTTATGGGAGCTGATAGCTTTGTGTTTCTCCTGTGCATCGGCTGGTGGGTTTGAACCGCCCACCTTGCTGTTATCAGTCTATCACTTACCCAAAAGTGCCACCAAAGCTCTCACTCAACTCACTGGCAGTGAGAAGAAATAAAGCCCATGGGCTGCCACCTGTTCCAGCTGGCCTACAAATCCTTGAAGGCACACTTATGAAGGGATCTCATTTGTAACCTTGGTGTTGCCTGTATGTACTCTGTAGAGGAGCCCACTGGTCACTCCACAGGAGAAAGATGTGACAGCCTGTCTCTGTGAAAGCATACGGTCTTGGAAACCCTCGGAGACAGTTCTATTCTGCCCTATAGACTCTATGAATCAGATTGACTCCATGATCCAACAAATCGGAGATGTTAAATTTGTTGAGGGAAGGGATGTTTTATATTTTTATAGCAGGATAAGTGAAAAATAATAATAGAGGCACATTACTTGTTCATCTGAATGGCTACATACATGCTTTTAGGTTGCTCTGTTACCTGCTAACCTATACCTTCTGTTCCCTGTCTCAGGCTATGAGCCGGGCCCGCGCCCACAGATCTCAGTTGGAGAACTCTGCTTCTGCCTATGGTGCTGATGACTCCATGAGTATCGATCTGACCGAAGAGATGGCTGGTGACTCTGGTGACAGCGTCTCAGCAGCAGGCAGCAAAGGAAGAGCCCGGGGGCGAGGGCGAAGAGGGGCCAGAGGGCAGACCTCCTCCTGGAGAGGAGAGTCTCAGAGAAGAAGAGGTTAGCTCTGTGCCCAGACCCAGACTTGGCAGCAGAATGGGAAATAGCGGATTGCATCCCTGTTGTCAGAATTGGGTTACGGGTTTCGGGTTTTTCTTAAAGTTTGTTTTTATAATACATAAAGGCGGTCTTTAATGGCGACCTTTTGCTTAGATTAAGGATGGCAGTATGCATATAGGGCTGTTGCCATTGCGTTGATTCTGGAAACTGTGCAGAGTAGACTGCCTCATAGGGTTTTCAAGGCTGTGTTTTTTCAGAAGCAGTGCCATACCTGACGTCCGAGACACGTCTGGGTGTATTTGAACTTCCAACCCGTGAGACAGTAGTCAAATCATTGCTCAACTATTTGTGCTACTTTGGGTTTAACAGGGTTTTTGTTTGTTTTGTTAAGACTGTCACTGCCTGTTTCATACGTCGTGCCTCTCGGTATAGTTAATGTAGTTAATGTCGTGTTTACTCCCACATGTCGGATGTTGTGGTGAGATAACATGAGTTCAGGAAGATAGCTAACTGATGGCAATTGGCAGCAGGAAGAAAACCTCAAATGGCATAAATTATTTTTGTTACTGTCATAAATTAAACAGTGCCTATTGCCTCAAAAGTGGTTATGTTAAAACTTTTTGAAAACACCTTCCCCAAACAAATTGATTTCTGAAAGCAATTATTAATATTTCCATTTTTGTGTTTTACATGGCAACTCTTGTCATTGGATAATCCAAGTAACTGAATCTCATGACTTCCTATGTATTATATAAATTATCCCTGGGAGTATTTTAGAGTTATTTGTACCAAATATTTGCCCATAGGAATTGTAAGCTGGTAAAATGGAGAGTGACTTAGTTAAAAATTTACGGGGAGTAAAATCTTTATCTTCTAGATAAAATTATTTTTATTATCTTTCATTTATAAAATTTTTCCCTTAGATTTGAATTGGAACAAATTGAACTAATGTGTGCTAAGAAATGTTTGAAAGTCAGATAGACATTAGATGATTTTTCATACACACACACATACGAGGGTATAACCCCCCCAATGGATTTTTTTTTCTCAAAGCTATGCATTTAAATTTTTTTACAAAACAACCTTATCACCTTCAAAGTACTCTCCATTACACTTCATACATTTGTCAAATCTGTGATTCCATTCTTGGAAACATTTTAAAACTCATCTGTTTGGATGGCTGACAGCACCTCCCTCATTTTTTTCTTCACCTCTTCTACATTGTCAAATCGCTGTCCTTTCATGTCCCTTTTCATTCACGGAAACAAATGAAGTTTCATGAAGTGAGGTCAGATGAGTAAGGTGCGTGGGACAAGAAGGGCATGCTGCCTTTTTGCCCCATACTGGCATACTGAAATGGCTGTGTGAGCAGGCACATTCTGGCAAAACCAGTGCCCCGTCTGCCACAAATCAGGCTTTTCTTGTGGCACACTGTTACTTTAGCTGTTCAGAACCTTTAAATAGAAAGCTTAATTCATAGTATGATCTGGTAGAATGAACTCCAAATGCACTAAAAGTCGACATTTCCATCTGTTTGGGAAGTTGACAGATATCCAGAATGAGGTTTATCATTAAGGACATTTCACCTTTTTTGAAACGAGAAAACCACCTTACACCTGAGTCTTTCCCACAGCATTGTCCTTGTAGGCTGTGTTCAACATCCCAACAGTTTCTGCAGCATTTTTCCTGAGCAGGAAACAAAATTTCGCAGGCTCATGCTGTGCTCTTAAATTGGCCATCATAAAAATCGAGGTTCAAGCGAACCTCTTATGAAAAAATTCACTGTGACCAGAGAGAACCTTCCCAGGCAACGTCACTGGTTGCACTAACTCGGAAGAGTTCAATGCTTGCCTAGTGGGGAAAATGCATACTACAAAAGCTCCACCTAGCGGAGCTTTTTTCCATTTTTTGTGTGTGGGGGCACACCCCCCCCTCTCTAGTTGATCATTTACTCTCATGACTTTATTTAAATTTCGTTTTGATAGTTTTTAACATTTTTTTAAAACACCTTTTCTTTGGATGGGATTATATAATGATTGTACTTATTATTCTAATATTAGGTACTAGTCTTGAGTCTTTTACTCAAAGCAGAAGTTCAAAGGCCACTCCATCAACGTCCTCGAGGAATATGTCAATTCTAGATGGTGAGTGCAATTGAGAATCACTGAGTAACTGACTTACCGACCGCGTCGCATCACGGTGGAGCATGCCTCTAGTCAGAAAGACTTTGGCTTGCCTTTCAGAGAGTCCTCAGCTGACAAATGGGGTCATGATTTCATCTACCTCATTCGGTTACTTTGAGGATTAATGAGAAACTGCATGTTTCTCAATACCGAAGCCTTTAATGAGTGTAAATGGTGGTTCTGTAAACCTTACTTATAAAGTTGGTGATATATGAGAAACTACATGTTTCTCACTACCTAAGCCTTTAATGAGTGTAAATAGTGGTTCTGTAAACCTTACTGATAGAGTTGGTGATATAGAACAGTTATAAATACTTAATAAACTTATGCATATATGAAGGGGCTGCAGTGAGCTCATGGAAAAATTCCATTATCTTTTAATTCTGTACTGAGCATAGCACTTATTAAGAACGCAGTAGATGATTGCTGGTATTTGTATTAGTGACAGTATTTTCAATTAATTTATATAAATACAGGCACTTTATAAATCATTGGCCTATATTTTACTCATTGTAATTGATTTCATGGCTCTGCTAATATCTGATTGCCACCAGTATGGTCTCCTTGATTTGATAAATGGAACTGCTTCTTAAACTATGAATGTACAGCATTCTCTGCTGGGTTGGAATTCGTGTTTTGTGAGGCCGAAAGAATGCCCATGGAATCCTAACTACTATACTTGCTGCAACTCTCAGGCAAAAGCAACTTTAAGACTCAAACCTCTAGATTCCTGTTACAAATGAAGATTGAAAAGATAAAAATCAAACTCTAGGAGAGAAAATTCCATGGCATATGAGGATAAGTGTGTTAGAAAAGGTAGACATCAGACTGCCAGTACTCAGTGGTTGTAAATTTTAAAAGTTGACAACCCAGTTTTTTCGATTGAAGTTAGTCAGAAAAGCTCTTTGACCAAGGGATTTAAAGACAGCTCTTAAGCCAGTGTCTTTACGTTTCACCTCCCACCATAGCTACCATCCTCTGCATCCACAGCTTCTTCTAGTAGCTGTGTTAATGGAAAGGCTGACACTGTACTAGCATTTTATAAATCATCGGTCTATGTTTTACTCATTGTAATTGACTTAATGGCTCTGTTAAATCTGGGCCCTTGTTAATGCAGTTTACCTGGGCTACCTATTTTTAGCTTTTGGATATTGCAAATACTTCCCTGCAAGAAGTATTAACCTACCTTATTTTGGAAGTGAGGCAGTTGAGGCGTAAAGAAGCCAGGGAACTTAGCCTATAGTCACCCAGCTAGTAAGTCAATGGCTTTCAGTCAAACCAGAGCTTTGCGCCACCATATGTTGCCTTCCTTACAAGACTCAGTGCTTATTTTTCTGATACACAATATCTAACAAACACTTATTTCTCTGTAGCTGTCCACTTGAAATAAGAGGAGTATTATTTTGTGGCTTTCAAAATAATTTGAAGAGTCATTTAGTGAGTAAATAATGAGCAGAAATATTCCTTGGGAGCATCACGACCCTGGCTTTTTCATTCTGTTGCCTCAGCTCACCTATTTTTAAATGCTTTATTGTGAACTGTGTGAAGGTCTACAGAGCAGACCCTTCATTTACATAGTTCCAACTCATCCATTCAGCCCTCTCACTTACCCACTCCTTCCCTATGACTCCTGTTCCCATTCCTCTCTTTCCTAAATAAGGCACCTTGTTGTCAAATAATTGATTATTTTGTGTTGTGTATACCTCACTAGTTGTGTTAGACGAGGTTGACTAGAGAAACAAATTCAGAGACTGTCATATATGTATAAGCAAGAGTTTTATATTGAAAAATAATTGTATATCAAGAAAACATCCTAGCCCAGTACAGATCAAGTCTGTAAGTCTGATATCAGCCTATAAGTCTGATACTAGTTCATAAATTTCTCTTCAGACTCACACAGCCACATGCAATGATGCAGAATGCAGGAAGATCACTGGTCTACGGGAGAAAAGTCTTGTGGATCCAATGGCGGTAGAAGCATCACAGGGCTGGTGCAGGTCTCTGCCACATGGCTCGCTCAGATCTCCTCATGTCTCCACATGGCTTGTCTATAGGAAGGTGAAGTAGAGAGAATTTCCCAGAATCCTCATGGGAAGGAGGCACCCACAAGGAGGCACCATCAGGCTGTGACCTGATTGACTCCACCCCTACACTTATCTATCAAGTTGGCAGGAAATTATGTAACTTCCATACTAGTGCTATTGCCCCTCCTTAAAGGTCTGTCTGTTGTTTGGCTAAAAATTGAGCCATGAAAGTCAGTTCCTTTCTAGAACTTAAGAGTGCCTGAGGCTCATGTCTCCAGGGCCCCACCGCCTTGCTCCGACCTCTGTCCAGCCTTTTGAGTTGCATTGGAAGTGGGGACAGTACTGCGTAGAGAGGAAGCATGCTGCTCAGCCTTTGACTGAGGAGGGAACCTGGACTAGGAAAAATGCGTAAATGATAAGATGAGGAGTAGCTACAATATTCCTGAGATGTTCTGACTAGGAAAATGCTTGGCTTTCAAGGATAATTTGAGTGTTTGACTTTTTCTAGTCTTTTGACTTCCTTTCTCTCTGTGCCTTGGTTGATTTGGGGGTTGTCTTGGGGGAGACTTTTTTTGGACAGTAAAATCCGTGAGAGCCAGAACTTGAGAAGATTACGCTGTTCCCCCTTGTCCCCAAAGTCTTCCACCTTTGACAGGTGTGCATTCTCACCACTTTTCTGCCACTCATTTCAGTAGGGAATATTTGAACTTTCCTTCTCGAACAGGTTTCTACCTTACACAGTTGCCAGTGTGCATGCATTTTAGTATACTAGCAAACTGGTGAGACCTAGGCAAAAATAAACCTGTAATTGACTGTTAGAGATTTACTCTGGGCTTCAGTCTCAGAGGGGAAAAAAAGGAGGGAGGATAAAGAGCTAGCTAAGCATCACGTTTTTAAAATGAAAAAAGTTAAAGATGTCAAAGTGTTGTATAACAGAATGGAAGGTATGCTATTTAACAGAACTCCTCTTCTGGTGCGCCCCCATTTCTGTTAAGGAATAGGACTAACAGAGTAGAAGAGAAAGGAATTCCTAGTGAAGAAATCACCTAGCTTCTAATACCACCACAGGGAAAGGAGTCACACACTACAAAGTAGAGAGACATGAGGACTGGCTCTTTCTGGAGAATTCTTTTTTTTGCATTTGGTCATTCCTTTTTTGGGGTCATTTTATTGGGACCTCTTAAACAGATACTATAACAATCTGTAATTCAATTAGATCAAGCATAATTGTACAATTGCTATCAATTTCAAAACATTTTTTTTCTTCTTGAACTCTTTGATATCAGCTCCCCCTTTTTCCCACCCTATCCCCCAGGAACCCTATTATGTACTTTTATTGTTCTTTTATTTATTTTGGGGGGGCATATCTTATACCATCCAATGTTTCCGTTCACCTACAATTCTGTTATTCATTCCCCTCTAGTGGGGGCATACAATCATTATTGCTATCAGTCTGTCAGTTGTCTTCCCATACCCTCAGGGAACCATTACTCCTGTTATTGTTTCTAAAGAATTTATCTATCTTGGATTTCATGCATCGAATGATCTTAATTATACAAATGAACATACGCAGGTCTCACAAGATTGATGAGGTAAATCTAAGAACATAATAGTAAGGGAGGAAATATTGAACTAGAGCATATTTGTGTGCTGCATCAGTGTTGTACTGCACCCTGGATATAGCATCCATTCCACGTGGCCCTTCTATAAGGGACCATCAGTGATCTTACAGGTGGGTTTTGGGTGGTCACTTTGTCTGTGCTCCTTCACATCGGTTTGATTGCTTGTTTTTGAACTTCTACCTATTCCATTTGGCGCATTGCGATCACACGGGCTGGTGTACTGCTTCCATGTGGTCTTTGTTGCTTTTTTGCTAGATGGCTGCTTGTTTAACTTCAAGCCTTTAAGACACCAGACCCTATATCTTTTAATAGCTGGGCACCATCTGAAGAATCTTTACAAATATAGCTTCTTTGAGGCTTATCATCAATACTTCTGGAGCTCAGTCAGTCAGGAGGCCAGACGGTAGTCTTCAGGTATTTGCCTGTGCAGTATTTTTAGTATGGGGGTATTTATGAATGCTGTAGTCAACTCATGAGACTGACAGCTAGGCATTGGGTTATTTGAATAAGTAATTCTACCTCTTTTCAAATTGAAAAATATATAAATGGTCTTGTAATTAATCATCAATGGTGTCTGCAAAGTGGACATAGAAAATATACAGATGTTTAAAAGTTATTTTAAGAATGACCTAATGGTATCTCATCTTTTTTTCATCCTAGCCTTTAAATCTACAAGACAGCAGCCCTCCCGAAATGTTGGTACTAAGAATTATTCAGAGGTAAGGGGGAGGAAAGTTCATCATTGTCTTTTAGTAATGTGTTTCCTTCATTATGAATTATTAGTATGTAGATCTGAAAAATAAGCTTTAAAAAGTCAAATATTTGAGCCCCTAATAAAATGATTTTTTTTAAAAAAAGGTCAAATATTAAAGCTAAATAGAACTTTGTTGATCATTTAGACCAGGCGTCCTCAAACTATGGCCTGTTGGCCACTTGCGGCCCGCTGAGAACATTTATCCAGCCCGCCTGGTGTTTTTGCCCCATTTTTTTTACTTCAAAATAAGATATGTACAGTGTGCATAAGAATTTGTTCATAGTTTTGTTTTTAACTATAGTCCGGCCCTCCAACGGGTTTGAGAGACAGTGAACTGGCCCACTGTTTAAAAAGTTTGAGGACCCCTGATTTAGACTTAGAGCTTCTAGGATTTGTATCTTTGTTTCTTACAATAATGGGCCATTTGATTCTTAATCCACTAATACTTTCATGGGCAACAGTGTTGAACCAAGAGGGTTCATGCATAGAATACTGATATGGGAGGTGATCTCAGTGCATCTAGAGGTTTTATTTATATATGGGTACCTTTTTCTCATAATTCTCTGGCTTGTCCCTGATAGCTTCTACTACACTTGAGACACGCCGAAGGGTGAGAATCTAAGGATCACTGTGTTCCTAAGTATAGAATTAAGCTAGACCTTTAATCTGAGAGCCTTTTGTGCACCTAGTAAGTGCCAAGAAGAGTCCAATATGGGCTTGACTCTCCTAGCACCTGACTTTCAAAACTAATAGATGTTAACTCCTGACCTAGTATTCTTCCACCTCAACTAGAGTTCCTCGGTAGCATCACGATTGGCATTTTGGATTGGACAGTGTTTTTTATAGGGCCGGTCTTGCACACTATACAATGCTAAGCAGCCTCCCTGGCCTCTGCCCACTACATGCCCCTAGCCATGACAAACAAAAGTCTCTCTAGACCTTGCCAGGCGTCTCCAGAGTAAAACTCATTCATGTATTGCCATCGAGTAGATGCCGACTCACAGCAACTCTGTAGGACAGGGTGGAGCTTCCCCTGTGAGTTTCTGACGCAGTAGCTGCTGATGGAGGAGAAAGCCCCCTCTTTCTCTGGAGGAGCAGCTACCTGTTGGAATTGCTGACCTTGCAGCAATTCCCAACTCATTAGTACTGTGCTAGCAGC